GGCCACGTCGCAACGGATACACAATCTCCACGGAAGAAGGGGATGGAAGGGTATAAGGAAGGAGGGGGCTCAATCAAATTCCAGGAAATAGATCGGCAAGACAGAAAAGAAGAGAGTGAAGCAAACAAAGGAAACAATCGTAGGGAAACAAATGAGGGTTAAGGAAAGGGAAAAAAAGGATAGGGAAAAACAAGGGAAAAACAAAGATAGGTAAACAAAGAAAGAAAAGGAGAGTGAGGGAAGTAAGAAGAAAGAAAAACAAAGCAGAAAAATAAAAATAAAAGTAAATAAATTTATAATGTTTTAATCGTGTTCTAAGTGACCGACGAATAGTACGTTCACTTACATTACAACCAACCATTAGCGTTGATGTGCAAATTAGTCTCGAAATTGAACTCAAAAATACTATTTTTTCCGTACAAGCCTGCATAGGAACTATAGAAGGAAAATAGTAAAGGTGGAAGAGAAGGAGGAAAAAATAGGAAGAAGGATTGATTACTGATTCCGGGCGTCTCAACTACTAACATCGATAATCCCTTAAGTGTAGTGCGATTTTAATTCGCGGGAAGTGGCAGTGGGGCCCCGCTGGATGGCGAGATCCGTTGCCGATCTAACAGTTGGCTTGAATGGCTTTCCCTAACCAGGTATCTTCCACCAGAGGGCAAGCTCTAAGCACCCTACTGGTCTCCCGGCATGTGTAATAGAGTAGTGCTTGTAAATGTGTGTGTAAGTAAGGAGTGAAGACAGGACAAGAAAGAGGAAGGAAAGATTGCGCGCGCAATCCGTTTCTCAGGGTACTGCTCCCACATTCGCCTGGAATGAGAGAATCCATGCAAAACTCATAATAGCCTCTTAATAGAATTCTTCGCCAGACAGCGACTGAACTCGACCTAGCTTTGTAGCTAGTGTCGAAAAGCTTACCGCCGCCGTCGGGATTCAAACCCTAGTACCTCCCAGTCACATGACTGCAGTGACATGATTTGTTGCCTCAAGCCACCCACGCTGGTAAGATGTAGACGGCAAAGGGTGATGAGGATGAGAAGAAGTTGAAGAACAACACAACATCAAGTAACTTTCTCATACAAGTTGTTTATTATACCGTACATAAGTAGGTATATAAGAAAATAAGTAGGAGGCAGAAGAAACAGAAGAATAAAGAAGAAGAAAAGTAGTGGGCTAGGACACCAGGTGGCGAAAGAGACTATTAAGTAGGCAACTCTGATGAGAATATAACACTCGAAAAAGAAGGTTTTAGCAAATTAGATACTCGGAAAGTCTTAAGCTGAGGAGAACCTACAAAATGCGAAACTGAACAGAGCAGCGCCTAAATTGTTGGCTATATCCCACGCCATCAACTCGAAGAATAAAACATTGGTACATACCTGAACTAGGACATTTGTTTCCAGGTACACTGGCTCCTTATTCTGGCCTTCCGGAGGGTTATCGTCTCTATCGATGAGCTCCACAGAGATGTTCCTTGAAGAAACTGTTCGAGGTGTCATCTTCGGTATAACGTCCGTTCCCACCTGAGAATGAAAAATAATGCGCGTATTATCAGTTGTAGAAACCAGTAAATCCTTTCAGCGGTACAAGGCTAAGTCATTTACGTGACTCGGTATGCTCGTGGAGAATCATTTCTTCACGAATTCTTTCCAAACAACTTACGAAAATTATCCAATTATGCGTTCGTAGGCTTCCGCGGCCGGAGTCAATACATTCTTGGCTATCCGAGACGAGCCGCGTCTCTGTCAATTGGGCTGACGTTTCGGCTATATTGCTGTGGCCTTCTTCAGAGCTATACTGCTATATGTCTGCTATACTGCTATAGCACCAAGCTCTGTCACCTTGAATATTGAGAATGTCAATATTAAATACTTGTAAGTTTCCAATAATTCGTGCAAAAAATCTACGCAACTCGCACGACAGTGTCTTCGGCAGTATAGCTCTGAAGAAGGCCACAGCAAGATGGCCAAAACGTCAGCCCAATTGACCGAGACGCGGCTCATCCCGGATATCCAAGAATGTATTATCCAATTATCCCAAAATGTATTTTTCATCTTCTATACATGGAAACAAGTACTTACTTTCTCTCTTTATTAGTTGAAAAGTTTTATTTTGCTTACGCGTACGCGTACTCGTACTGCAAAGTAGTCAACAAACAGTTGAGTCTATACAAATAGTTGAGTCTATACAAGTAGTTGGTCTATACAAAGTATTTGAGTCTATTACAATTAGTTGAGTCTATACAAGTAGTTGAGTCTTACGAACAGTAGTGCAGTCTATACAGTAGTTGAGTCCTATACAAAGTAGTGAGTACTATACAAGTAGTGAGTGCTATACAAAAGTTTGAGGTCGTATACAATAGCTTGAGTCTAGTACAAGTAGGTTGAGATCTATACGAACAGTTGAGTCTATACAAGTAGTTGAGTCTATACGAACAGTTGAGTCTATACGAACAGTTGAGTCTATACGAACAGTTGAGTCTATACAAACACTTGAGTCTATACAAACAGTTGAGTCTATACAAACAGTTGAGTCTATACAAAAAGTTGAGTCTATACAAACAGTTGAGTCTATACAAACAGTTCAGTACTTCAAAGTAGACAAAATACTGGGACGACATGAATCAGAATGTCTGTCACCTTGAATATTGATAACGATGTCAATATTAAATACTTGTAAGTGTCCAATAGTTCGTGCAAAAAAATTACCTACACATCTCACACGAAAGTGTCTTTGGCGTATTCATTTTCAAATGCTGAATCCGGCTCCTATCGTTTCGCCCGTCAACATTTCATGCGCTCGTCACAGACTCACTTCTTCTACTAGTGACGTAAATAACATTAATGGATTGTTTTAAGCACCTAAACTGCATGAGGAAGCGGTTAATTCATCCTTAGAGGTATGTTATCAATAACTCATACGGTTTCTGTATACAAAACGAATCAATTGTTACAATTTTTCGCCGGAACTCTCTAAAAGATGATCGAAGAATTCCAGAAAAAAGGATTTTTATACTTTCAATTCACTATCAGTGGTGAAACGATGTGAATTAGTTCCTATCTTTTCCGGCATAACATTAATTATTAATATTACGTGATCAATCAGGCTGAAAATAATTAAGCCTAATTTTGTAATTAGAAATTTAAAAAAAAGTATTTCAATCCCATTTATGTCACTTTCTATGTTCGAAGGTGGACTGACCAGACAACAGTTTCGTTAAAATTACTATATGTTGTAATATTGCCTAGCACTGATCATAGTAGTTTATGCAATTAGTGTATAATGTTAAGCTTCATTACTTGAGTATATGTTTTGAAAACAATAATGCAATACAGCTACATTATAAACGAGTTGCATACGTTATTTTTTTGTATAACAGAATTATAAATTTATAGAGAATCAAACACAATTTTGCAAAACAATTTTCTTATGAAGTCTCGGGTATTTGACATTTGAGCGAGAAGCCAGTGGTCGACTGTTCCGTTAACCGCTCCGTCCCCGCGATGCTCTCGCTGCGATTGGTTGAATGTGTGATGACACAATCATTCGTGCCGTAAAATGTAATATGTCATCATTTGTGCCGTAAAATGCGGCAAATAAGTTCGTTTATAATGCTGGTATACAAAAGAAACCACATTTGTAACGTGAAAAACAAGCCGGAGGCAAACCAGGTGAAAGAGGTTTATTATAAAACGAGCTGCACCCATCTAATTAGATAATATTATACCATTAGAGTAGACAAATGCTTTTTCCGTTACAAGTTGATCGACACAAACTAAACTACAATATTTACTCGTAACGTCCTGTGTCCGTTGAAGAATTTAACAATCCATCTTCCCTTAAGGACAATTTAAACAAACGAATTTTATCTAAAGATAGTGAATGATTACACATATTACAAGATGTGGTATTTCTGGTCTATACGATGTTTGTATAAGAAGGTGGAGTTACGAAAAATATTGAACGCATAACTGATAACACAAACGATGACCATGACTGTTATTATCTAGTTTTCCAAATTTTGACCGCGTCCGTTTTCACTGTATATAACGACGTTAATAATTCTTTTTTTGTATTTCAACGTTATAAATGAATTTACATTACATTAAAATTACAAGAAATTGTTCATAAAATGACATATTATGGAAGAGACTATGACGAATTGCCGTTTATGGCACGAATAATTGCGTTATCAGACATTCAGTCAATCGCAGCGAGACAATCGGGGGAGGTAGCGATAAACCGAACAGCCGACCACCGGTTTTTCGGACAGTTATCAAATACCCGTGACGTCACAGTAACTTAAAACTAAAAAAAAAAAAATTCAGGCAGATAAGGCTTATATAATACTACATGGGTCTTCCAGATCCATCCAGTAGAATTGAACGTCATGATAAGTGCCTTACCTCAGAGCACAGGAGTTGCGCTCTCG